TGGATCCAGAGGATGATGATCCTCAGAAGATGTTGGCGCTGGATCTGCTGGAGATGGATCCAGGGGATGATGATCCTCAGAAGATGCTAGCGCTGGATCTGCTGGAGATGGATCCAGAGGATGATGATCCTCAGAAGATGAGGTGTGCTAGATCTGCTGGAGATGGATCCAGGGGATGATGATCCTCAGAAGATGAGGTGTGCTGGATCTGGTGAAAATAATGGAGAAAATGCCAAAAGCTCACGCCTAGAATCGAACCCAGGACATGAGCTTCTGACTTCCTTCCTCTTACCAACTGCGCTGGATGTTAACTTGTTAATATAATAAAAACAAATAATATATTGGAAAACAAGTTAGTGGTCAGAAAAACGCGCCAGAATTTAAACCAGCCAGTCAGGTTGTGACACGTTGTTGTCTTCTTCCCTGTTCGTCGTTTTAGGCTCTGAACCTTTACCTACAAACGCAAGTCTGTTTCTAAAAACCTGTGTTATTCAATAATCAAGCACACGCAATATAAATTCAATTGGGGACCATGAATCAACTGGGTTTGAAACTCTGATCATCATGGTACCCATTATCAGGCCTAATTTTGCTAAAGTCACAAAACCCCAAATTGGAGCACGAAACCCTAACAATGGCAAAAGTTTATTCCTGCACTGTAACTTAAATCAAACTATCCAGAAACATAGAAAACATGATGATGAACACAAATATATGGGAAAAATACATTTATAATGCGTAAATCATAGAAAACGAATTTGAGTTTTTGTGTGCAAACCGTGATGCTTTCTGGATGCTGTGAGACTTGCAAAGGAATGGAGAAGCTTCCGGAGATGTCCAGGAATGTATTTCTAGACTTGAAACTCCTTGAGGATGGCTCTAAGATGGATTTCGATCTCACACTTTTTGTTCAAAAATTTCAGTTTTCTTTTGACAGTTTCACGCCTCCAATCCCCCCCCCCCTATGGAATGGAATTGTTGTGTATATGTAGGAGACTGAATTAGGTTAACAAAATTAAAATGAATCTTGAGAAATAATGGAGATTTGATTTGATTTTCTTCATGTATGATTTCTTTCCAAAACTTGCTTCAATCCAATCTTTTTCAACCCTAATGAGCCTTGCACGAATTGGCTGGCATGCTAGCTGTATATGGACTCAGAACATGCATAAAAATCTCAAGATTTGATTTGTTTTCATTATTTTACCATTTAATTTGATTTATTTTGATTTAAATGAATAAAAATTCAAAATAAATGATAAAAATAATTAAAAAAATAGATGGAAAACCTCAGGGGTCGTGGGTCCTATTAGAAACATGTTTCAAGCAAGAAAACATGGGCCCCTTTGTAAAAAATGCAAATTTGATCAATGTTGACTTTTGACCATTTTCCAAAAATTGCCAACTTTGACAATGCACAACTTTCTCAATTTTGACCCTAGGAGGGTGTTCTTCGACTTTTTAGAAAGCTTAGGATGTCCCCAAAGCAACCCTTTTGGTCTTATCTCAATTGAGTCTTCCATGTTCATGTATGAAGCTTTGACCCAAAATGTGTGTTTTGTTGACTTTTCAAAAGGACCTATAATGTCAAAATTCATATCTTTTTGTGAGTGCATATTTTGAACTTGTGAGATGAAGTTGAGTTGTAGGGAATTGTATCCTGTTCAAAATGAGCTTTGGATGTAAAATTTCTGATAAAGTATGAAGGAGTTATTCTTGGTCAAAGTTGGGTTGACTTTTCCTACAAAACCCTAATTTAGCAACTTTTGGGTTTTAATGAATTTGGGGCATTCCTTGGGGAATCATGATCATCCCTCGATCAAATGATGGATAACACTTCAAAATGATTATGTTGACCAAAAATCTTGAGGTTTGATTGTATGTGGGCCACAGTTGACTTTTGACCTAATATAGTCGATTCTCAAGCATCTGAGCAGTTGGCTGAGCAAACTTCTTATACAAGGCTTGAAACTTGGCATGGGTGATCTTGGGAATATATTAGGACCTTGGGAAGCATTTGGGATCCTTTGGACTCAAGCATCTTGATGAAAAGTGAAACCCTAATTTGAGGTATACTGCCTTAGGAGAGAGTTTGTATGGTCAACTCTTGGGCTTTCTTGAGCAACTTGGGGAACTCAATTGACATGTATTGAGTAAAATGAGAGGGGAAATTTTGTGGTACAACAATATGCCTCTGAATAGGCGAAAGTACAAGATGTAATTCCTTGAAAGAGGTAATTATAGAAATTTTCAAAACTGTAAATGGCAAGGAAAATGATAATTACTACTGTTGTTCCCTGATATCCCTTTAATGGCTCCTATCTCCTTTGCTTCTGAGTCGTTTGATTTAAATCCATCTCCTCCTTCGTGGTTCATAGTCGCATTTCATAGATCGCAGTCTTTTTGTTCTTTATTTCTTTTTGAATAAAATCCCTAATTTTTGCCTGGATCGCCCTTTCGAATTTTCAATCCACCAGGATAGTTTTGTTTTGTATGTCCCTAATTTTTTCTTGGATCTCCCTTTAGGGTTTTTGATCCATCGGGACACTCCTTTTTGCCTAAGTCACCCGTTTAGGGTCCGAGCTTAGTGAGCTTTTTATACATAGTATTTTTTGACTGCGTCTGGATTTGCCGGATGCGGTATTTCTTCCCCATCCATTATTGTGAGGATGAAACCACCATCCGAGAATATTGTTTCCACTACGTACGGACCTTCGTAGTTTGGTGTCCATTTACCACGTGAATAGAGGCGAGGTAGTAGAACCTTCTTGAGCACTAAATCCCCTTCTTTGAATATTCGAGGATGAACTTTCTTATTGAAGGCTCTCTTCATCCACTTCCGGTGCAATTCACTGTGGCATAAAGCTGTCAAGCATTTTTCTTCGATGAGGTTGAGCTGATCGAGTTGCGTCTGAACCCATTATGCTTCTTCCAACTTTGTTTCCATTAAAACCCAAAGTGATGGTATTTCTATTTCAACAGGAACTACTTCCTACATGCTATATACTAAAGAGAAAGGAGTCGTGCCTGATGATGTGCGCACAGAAGTGTGATAGCCGTGTAGGGAAAAGGGAAGCATTTCATGCCAATTTTTGTATGTCTTTACCATTTTCTGAATGATCTTCTTGATATTTTTCGGAATGTTCTATCTTGAAATTATCGCATAGTTCCAAGATAGAACTTATGAAGAACTTCTCCGGGGGCATGGAATGTCTAATTTTTCGGTCAGAATATCGACAGTAATGTCTTTGTTAGATTCTCCGGTCGAAATACGAGAAAACTCCATTCAATTCTCGATGGAAACGGAGTTTTGCGAATTCTCCCCGGAACTGGAAGATCATTTCGAGATCTTCGAACATATTCGAGGGTTCAATGTGACTATTGTAACTTCGGTCAACACACAAGATGAGACTTTACCACCGTGGAGCAGCTTTTTGCAAAAAGATGAGGGAGAAACTCAGTAAGAGATGTCGGAGAAGCGAAATATACGAGATCACAAACGCAGATTGCTCGCGGCAAAATATGAATTGAGACGAAAGCTTTATAAAGCCTTTTGTAAAGATTCCGATCTTCCTAGTGATATGCGGGACAAACTTCGTTATAAGTTGTCCAAGTTGCCAAGAAATAGTTCCTTTGCACGAGTAAGAAACCGATGTATTTCCACGGGTCTCCCTCGTTCCGTATATGAGTTCTTTCGAATTTCTCATATTGTTTTTCGTGGATTAGCATCTCGAGGTCCTTTGATGGGCATAAAGAAATCGTCTTGGTAGCAACTGCCAAACCCATAAAACAAGGGTTAGCTCTGCAGCTGGTCCACAAGCAAGGCTTGGTAAGTAGGTCCATTACCGGCCGGCTCCGGACCGAAAAGACCTAACGGAGTAATCCCTTATCTCGGATCGGAGGTGCTAACGGGGCAGGAATCAAAATGGGGGACCTATCTACCGCCTGTGTCTATCTCCTGTCAAGTATGCTCCCCAGACATAGACTACATACAGGGTAGTACTCTTGGATATAATATCACCGCGTGAACATGAACATAACATTAAGTTACGAATGTCACTCCCGAGGGATCGACCACTATTCTAAAGAAAGTATGGCGGAGAACTGTTGTTCATTGGAGCGCCGGAGTGCGGGGGTTGTTCCCATCATTGAAGTCAGAGTGTGGGACTGAGCCTTCCCAATGATAAATAAAAAAAAGTGCTTAGTTTCGTTGGAAAAACCAACACAAATATCATATTGACTTTCTCTCGCCCAACTTCTAAGGATAGATAGAAAAGGTTGGAGAGAGTTACTTTATGAAATTGTCTCCTTTCTAAAGCTGTGCAAGGCGGCCCCACCCCTATTTTCCCCCCTTTAATGAAAGACCCTCGCCCCAAAAAAATGGGATTAATTAAAAAAAAGCTTTTTGATTGATTCAGGGCGCAGCGAAACCAATTTATTTCAAGGCAAAAGGGGGACTTACTTACTTTACTTTTCCTGACATCCTATTCAAATCAAATTTAGCTATGTTAATCGAACAGGAAAAGTTTTAAGATGATATGGACCCTGGACGAGAACCTCCAATTGCTTAGGGGTCGCACTCTGTCCCGCTTGGTGGACGAAATCTTATCTCCTTTTAGAATGATTTCTCCCACACAACTTTTCCCTCTTTCACCGAAGAGGAAAGAAAAATCTTCCAAGCGGACAGAGACCTAAATTTCCATTAGATTCATTCCTAAGCTTGCTTTGTTGCAGTAAGATGACCAGTCCGAGAGTGCTGGGGAGAAGATAAAGCGGTAAAAACCCCTCAGATTCAGTCACCGAGCAGTCGTCCGACTCTTAAGTAACCCAGGATGACCCCTTCGACGCTCGCTTCTTTCGCTGTATACCCCCTCCATCCTTCGGAGGTGGAAGAAAGAAAAGGTACTATAAAAAATGTTGTATTTATTCTTTTTAAGTAGGGCCCCAGAACGAAAAAAAGGTGGGGTAACCTGAGTTGTCACGATAGGAAAGAGCAAAAAATGACTATAAGGAACCAACGATTATCTCTTCTAAAACAACCTATATCCTCCACACTTAATCAACATTTGATAGATTATCCAACCCCGAGCAATCTTAGTTATTGGTGGGGCTTCGGTTCGTTAGCTGGTATTTGGTTAGTAATTCAGATAGTGACTGGCGTTTTTTTAGCTATGCATTACACACCTCATGTGGATCTAGCTTTCAACAGCGTAGAACACGTTATGAGAGATGTTGAAGGGGACTGGTTGCTCCGTTATATGCATGCTAATGGGGAAAGTATGTTTCTCATTGTGGTTCACCTTCATATTTTTCGTGGTCTATATCATGCGAGTTATAGCAGTCCTAGGGAATTTGTTCGGTGTCTCGGAGTTGTAATCTTCCTATTAATGATTGTGACAACTTTTACAGGATACGTACCATCTTGGGGTCAGATGAGCTTTTGGGGAGCTACAGTAATTACAAGCTTAGCTAGCACCATACCTGTAGTAGGAGATACCATAGTTACTTGGCTTTGGGGTGGTTTCTCCGTGGACAATGCCACCTTAAATCATTTTTTTAGTCTTCATCATTTACTCCCCTTTATTTTAGTAGGCGCCAGTCTTCTTCATCTGGCCGCATTGCATCAATATGGATCAAATAATCCATTGGGTGTACATTCAGAGATGGATCAAATTTCTTTTTACCCTTATTTTTATGTAAAGGATCTAGTAGGTTGGGTAGCTTTTGCTATCTTTTTTTCCATTTGGATTTTTTATGCTCCTAATGTTTTGGGGCATCCCGAAAATTATATACCTGCTAATCTGATGCCCACCCCGCCTCATATTGTGCCGGAATGGTATTTCCTACCGATCCATGCCATCTTCGTAGTATACCTGACAAATCGGGAGGTGTAGCCGCAATAGCACCTGTTTTTATATGTCTGTTGGCTTTACCTTTTTTTAAAAGTATGTACGTGCGTAGTTCAAGTTTTCGCCCTATTCACCAATGAATATTTTGGTTGCTTTTGGCGGATCGCTTACTACTAGGTTGGATCGGATGTCAACCTGTGGAGGCACCATTTGTTACTATTGGACAAATTCCTCCTTTTGTGTTCTTCTTGTTCTTTGCCATAACGCCCATTCCAGGACGAGTTGGAAGAGGAATTCCTAATTCTTACACGGATGAGACTGATCAGTGAAAAATTATGACACCAATCATTTACGTATTACACCAAGAATTAATTGACAAGCGCATTAGTTTTATAGTTGGCTATGTTGATATAGCTTAGATAGGGAAAAGATATTACTAGGGTAGGGCTTAACTTTGAAATTCGGGGGCTTTGTTCCCGAAACTCCCTTCCTCCTCCCCGTCCTTTGAAAGCTAGAACATTCGCATAGAGGAGTATCCTTATCACGCATGCTTTTCCACTGATGACAAAATGACCTTCTATCCTCTTCTAGGGATTCCTACCCCTATATGGAGAGGGTAAATTATTATTTGAGTATTATGCATGAATATGCTTCTGCGCCGGGAATATCTCATAGCGGGAAGGCCTAGAGATCATAAAGAGATGGGAATGGAGGCATTCTAGCCCAACATACTCCGGTGAATGGGTCGAAAGAGATAGAGAGGGGAGTGGGATACAGGAAGTATAGTGAAGAGTTGAGTGGCTATCCAACCATCCAATCGGCTATGGAGGGTGGTTTCAGCAAGCGGGTAAACCGATGATGACTAGTCAAAACGTAGGCCATCGTCGCTCATCCCTCGTGTTCTCTCCCGTGAAGTGATTAATCCCTAAAATGGGCATGCAATCCCTATGGAAAAGCCAGTATTCCAATTGGAGTCAATTTCCACCCTCTGATGATCCATTCCGCCCTTCCGTATAGCCATAAAGGTATGGAATCTTATGGATGAATTGAAGAGACAAAGAGGGCATTCTATAACATAATGGGGAATAGCTAATAATTAGGACTCGAGAAAAACTTCCCCCTTTTGTTGGAATGGAATGGGAAGCACTTCTGTACGTGATCGTAGTATGTCATCTCGTCCCCGCTACATTTAAAAGTACCTATGCACTATTTCCAGTTAACTGATAAGGAAGATAGAGTTGGGGTGGGGGTCTACGATGTGATACTCAAGTATGACCCGGGGAGATACATGCTAACTATGGGTAGAAAGCAGGAACCCTTATGTAAAAAATTTCGGGGGGTTACAGATCAGATCTCTTATACTACCATCGATCAACAGAGCGGAACGACCATAAAAAAAAAAGTTAAGTTAGAAAGCCGTATGATAGGAGGTAACTATCTTGTACGGTTCGGGGGGTAATCGGCGTACTGCGATCAGTGGGGGGGGGGGGGGGGGGAATCTTTGGTTCTATCGAACATACAGGGAATTGGAGGTAGCATTCCACCGATGTTAAGTCATGGACTGGTTCCTTCAGCCCTTTTTCTATGTGTTGGTGTTCTATATGACCAACATAAGACTCGACTTGTTAGATATTACGGAGGGTTAGTGAGCACCATGCCGAATCTCTCTACCATTTCCTTCTCTTCCACTTTGGCCAATATGAGTTCACCGGGTACTAGCAGCTTTATCGGGGAATTTCCCATCTCAGTAGGAGCTTTCCAAAGAAATAGCTTAGTAGCCACATTAGCAGCGCTTGGGATGATTTTAGGCGCGGCGTATTCCCTTTGGCTATATAATCGTGTATTTTATGGAAATTTAAAAGCCGATTTCCTCCATAAATTCTTTGATCCAAATGGCAGAGAAGTTTCCATATTTATACCTTTTCTTGTTGGAGGGGCGACCGTCTGTTGAACTACCAAAGAAAAAAGGGTAAACCAATGTGATCATGACATTGTAGGTGCTTGCGATGGGGCGGATGCGACTTCCCTTAGTTGGTTTGGGTGGTATAGCCAGTTGCAGAAGTCCCCCCTTTTTTTGATCCATTTCTGTCTTTAGTCTTTAGGGAGCCAAAGCTTGACTTTACTAAAAAAATAAGGCTCGCGCAGGGGCGCTCACGTTTTTTGGCTGAGCCGTATCTTGTTGGGTGGGACCGAGAGCAAGAAAGGACGGGGGGCAACCATGCATGTTCTCGACCGTGTCTCCGAGGGACAGTTGAGCGAGCGACTCATGAATGCTGTCGGGTTGGATAAGCCAATAACTCGAACGCGTTCAGTCTTTTTTTTGAGCAAGAATCATAGTGTTACCTTACCTTCACCATGATACGGACTCGAAGTTATTATGGCAGAGCGCGAGGAGATTGATCATATCAATATTATTATGGGAATGGAAACCAGAAGCACGACCGACCGGGGTCCAAGATAATAAAACCATCAGTAACAGTAGTAACGTAAGCATGAGACTTTTTGGTAGTACCGGTGAACCGGATGGCCGCGGCGATGGAATCTGAGATGGAGGACTCGTAGTATCTCTCTAGATCTGGAAAAAGCTAAAGACCCCTTAATTCGAATGGGGGCTGACCACTGAGCCCACTCTGGCCTCGCAGGGCAGGCCCCTTTGGTTTCGAGTCGGAGCTGCCATAGCTTATGGCTAGAGCAATGGGAGGGGGCCCCGACATAGAGAATAGTAAGGATAACAAGCGCTCCTCCCGCTTGGCGGGCGGCAGGAGCTGCGGGAAAGTGCTTGGTAGGCCAACAACCCTGTGAACCGGGCGGGGCACTCAACGAAAGGGGGGCACACTGAGCAAGTACGATAAATTAGCCCCGCGGAGCTTTATTAAAAGCAAGGACCACTACGGGAGGTCAAACCAAGTAAAGGCCCTATGGAAGTCGGGGCTCGTCCCCGGTCAATATTGGATCAAACAATAGAGGGTCGTAGCACTGACCTCTTCTTTTTTTTATTCAATACAGGGAAAAGATCGTAAAGTTCCCTACCGATACAACAGACACTCTCAACGGATCCTCTGCGCGTCGGGCATACCTCTTCCTTCTGTGCGTCTTTCTCGTGGTGGGAACAGAACAACAGGGAAAGACCCGGCCGACCTGCCCAAGGCTCGAGGGCGAGCTTTATTTAAGAGATAATGGGGAGTGAATCGAAAGGCTTCCATTTTCGTTCTTGGGGGGCTCCTCTCGATCTTATTCGTAGTTGGGAAGGGGGAAGGAGTCTAAATCAATGGACATTAATGAACCATCATTGATGGACGTTGCACATGACACGATTAATTCGACTCAAGGTCCGGCACTAATAGAAGTTGCTGACTCTCCTAGTTTGAAGGAAAAAGGCAGGGCTTTTTTTGTAGTAATAGTGGGCGGGTCTCATGATATTTATGCCGGCCGTCGGAATAAAATTAAGGGGCCGAAGGACCATTCAATTCATTAAGGGGCACAGATTTAGGCCTCTTTGTTTGGTCAATCACCAAAGGCGGGGGGAACCACTATGGGCGAGACCCCCCGACCTCTATTCTTTTGCATAGTCCGGGGGTCGGCCGCTGCAGAGCTGTGGGGCATAGCGGCGCCCTCGCCTGGTGCCATTCCCGGATCTAGCAGCAGACGGGAGGGCCGGGCCTGAATTCAGACCAGACTCTTCTTTATTTGAGCTTCTCCCACGCACGCAGACCGGAAGATCTCAGTTGTCCTGGACTTGACAAGTACATAGAGATCTTCGTGGGACCGGGGAGGGAGTCTCAATCGATCTTTTCTAGGATTCCTTATCACGCACGGAGATCTTTCCATTAATAGATAAAAGGGCTCCCCCCTTGAACATACTCTTAAAGGTTAGGTAGGTTACTACCTGTCTCTACGGAAGAGGTTTACTTTGTACCGCCCAGAGGTCATATAGATAGAAACCCGGAGCGAGAAGAACGAAAGGGTTGGTGTGGCCACAGCTACAACTACTGGCGCTTCAAAAGGCTTAGATTTCTTCTAAGGGCGCTACAGCAAGCTACCTTTTTTTAGGTCGTGTAATAGGGAGGTGTAAGCCTCGAAAGCCTTTAGTACTTCGGTAGGGCGAGCAGCCCTTAAACCGGTTTGGAACTCTTCTCGTATTTCTGCATTTAATTCTCTATTCAGCCCGCCTCAAACAAAATGATAAAAAAGGATAGGACTATTGATTCGAAGTCACTACGAAAGGTTCGGTCAATAGCATAACTCTTGATTTACCCGGTCTCCTTTCGAAGGAAAGGCCTTCGCTTTCCTAATCCGGTAGGGGGGCGAACGGCTTTGTTTGCCCCAGCTTGGCTAATCGCATCCCCGCGCAACGACATTCCGCCCCTTACCGTTCTCGCTCAGTCTTTGCAACGGATGGGGAGGCAGTCGTAGAAGCGAAGCCTATCGCCACGCCGACCATAAAAGACGATATTGGGCCCCTTCTCAAAGATTTGATGGAATGGCCCACCCAAGAGCGCTTATGTAATATGGGAACTCATGGCTGGAAACAATCCTTCCTTATGGTTTTGATATCCGGTAGGAATAATCAGAATAAAAGTCCAGGTTGGTTGGTGAGCCTAGTGATAGGAGACTATCTATCTTGGTTCGGAGAGCACTTGTTGGGTTAAAGATTTTTTTGTTGCTAAATGTTACGGCCTAAATTCTGAACTATTGACCCTACTTGTTCGGATGGGTGTTCACCCCAAAGTGTTCCCGGACCGCATGCATACATACGTAAGTAACTTAGTGCAACATGGCAAATTTAATTGAGAGGAATCAGCAAAGAAAAGAAAAACGGGTCAACATCTTAATGTGTATTTTTGATAAATTGTCCTCGGCTCGGGATGAGGAGTGTCCACATGAGTTCGTTGAGGTGTCTACACAGGTTCGAAGACGCTCTTTTATATTCTGTCGAGAGTTCGGATCGCTCCACCTAAGTAGAACGAAAAGAAGGAATTGGAAATTCAAAGGGGGAGCCAGAAGCTTCACTTCCGGTAGCTTGCTGACTCTCCTAGTTAGAAGAAGGCTCTTTGGCGAATTCATTAGATCTGGGTAGAGTCTCGCTCAGTAAAGATAGTTGTAGATTCCTAGAAAAGGAGAGGAGCCTTGACTTCTTTGATCACCCAAAGGTTTAATTAAGGCTTTACTTGTTGTTCTATATCTATAGGACAGAAAAAACATCCAAGGAAAATGCCCTGCAACCAATTACTGCCTAGGGAACCCATTTGCTCGCCTGGCATGACAAACTGAAAACAGGATGATTGGAAACTGGCCTATCATATGACTCTATAATCAGCTAGTCGGAATCGGAATATGCTTTTACCCTTGCTTGAACTGGTTTACTCAGAGGCACTGAAACTAGATAGCAACTGTAATTGTAATTGGATGGCAAGGAAATCACAAGATTGCTCACTTAAAACCTAGCTTGCTGGCGCCTGCTGGCTCTCCTAAGTCTCTTTCCCTTTCCTGCAACTAGAACTCTAAATGTAGCACTGGAAGTAAACTCTCACTTGAAGAATTGCTTGCTTGCCTATAATTCCTACTTGAATAAAAGAAAGGCATGCTTTCAATTTAAAGGCTTCCTCACTCACCATAACAGACTCAGGCGCTATAGAACTCGAACAATGTCAAAAGAGGGCATTGGTATTTTAATAACCCGACTTTCAAACTAACTTAGATATGCCATTTTATACACTCACTTACAAGAGGCAAGTTTTAGAAATAGAAATCAACTTTCTTACACTAGGGGAGATTAAGTATATGCTCACTTTGGAAAAGATGAGTAAACAGTAACTTCTAAAAAGGAGAAGGAAGTAGATTAGGGCAGGCTAACAGCGCCAGGAAATGTATGAGAACTCGCCTGTCCTGCCTATGTAACCTATTCGATTCACTCTCCTGGTCTGACAGCAAAACAAAGTTAACTTCCACGGGATCTGCCATCGAAAGGAAATGGCCTGGACATTGCAGGAAATACATATATATATATAGGCTGCAGATGGCCCATAATATGCGATTGCGGATATACCTGAATACGCTATGGGGTTGATCTTTCCCTTGCTGGGATATTTTATGTGAGCAAGCCTCTTTCTTCCTTTGCTTTGGGACGAGGCCTGTTATCTTAATCCATCCAGAGGGAGTGCCCCAAAAGCCAATGCCATTCCATTCATTTCCCATTACCTGCCAGCCATTAATTAGTAATTTTGAGTTCTGTCCATGCGATCTAACAGACTAACAGGACAAGCAGTAGTTTTGAAAGGAAATCTGGCAAGGAAAATCCAGCAAACAAGGGATATGCATAAGGCAAGTCATTCCAATAAGTGGTCGCAAGCGAATGACCTAGGAAGAAGCCCGTTTACAAAGAAGTTCACATGCCCTGCAACGGATCTCAAACAAAGCGTGGCTGACAGCGCCAAGAAAGTATGGCTTACACTTCCTTAGGAAGTCAGAACTGGTGGAAGTGGGCTGGCTAATTTACCACAAGGGCTCAGGCCTAATTGGACTTATAAAGAGTTTTCAGTCACAAAGGAAGCAAGCTATTATTCCTTTCAAGCAAGAAGGACTCGACTTACTCACCAGGAATGCACCCTAACCTAAGGGAGAGGGGATAAAGGGATTAGGCTCTGCAGATGAAATAAAGAAGAAGGATAGTTGTCGTTAGAAAAAACTATTCAAGGCTTAAACTTTTTCAATATCTCCGCCGAACCTGTGTAATAGAAAGTCTTAAACTTTTTCACTTAATCCTATTATTCCAGTGTTTTTTTAAGATAAAAAAAAAATAGAAATCCAAAAGCTATTCTTAGTGTTTATAATGTCAAAATTTCAAGTCGGGTCACTCGTCTTTTCTCTTGATCCTTACCGGCCTCTTGAATATTCTATTATTTACTTCATTTTTTTGTATTGTGTATGTAATAAGATTTTACTGCTGTTTTTTTTTAATGATTAATAAGAATTTTCTTGTTAAGACCCTATAGAATCAATTTAAAAACCTGAGATTCATACCAGAACCACGATGATTTCCCCAAAAAACCTTTAATCGAAGTCCATAAATTCCCTGATTAAGAACTGCTGGATCATCATTTATTCAATTAATAGATAGAATGAAAAAAAAAGACAAAGAAATGATAAGCGCTGGCAGTTTTAAAGAATAAAATTCCATTTCTTTTTCTAAATGAATTCTTATAATTCTTTCATTTTTTTTCGTCCGGCTGCGAGGTCTAAATATCAATATAAATATGAAGTATGAATCATAGTTCTAACACTTTAGAATCTATTTATTTTCTATATTCCATGCTCCAGATACTAGAATAAATATGTGACGGGGGAAAGCCATCTATCAAGATAAGATGACGTATCCATTTTCTGTTATGTACTATCAATAGGATCCATTATAACAAGTCACACACTCATATTCCGGAAATACAAAAACAAAGAAGTTTTGCGGTCGAACTACCAAATCAAAATGGGGTCCCTGTCATCGTATCGCATCATTTCCTCAATATAATAATATGGGAGCGGCGTTCTGCCTAAATAGTGTGCAAAGCTAACAAATGAAAAAACAACAAATATTTGCCCCACATAATTTCGCAATTGTAGGAGAATGTATTTATCAAATCTCATAGTTATCTTATATTTGATCGACTTTTTATGCTGTAACCAGACTAATACCAATCCAATACATTTCATTAAAAAGATGTGACCTATTAACCACCCAACAAAACTACTTGTTAATAATAACAATTTATTGTTGGATCGAAACAGATAAATGTTCATTAATCTTATTAAGATTGAACTTGGCAAAAGAAAGGGGTTTAATAACTGAAAAAAAAGATTGTTAAAGAATACTTTAACAATCCTAAAATGACGTATTGAATTTGGATTCTTGTATTCATAATCCAGTTTGGATCCCGAACCCAAATAGTAGTGTTTGTCATTTTTGTGGACAAAATTAAAGAAAAGATACGGTAGAGTTAAGACTGTTATTGTATGAGATCTACTCAATGCCAAATGCAAAGGCGCATAATAGATCGATATAAACATCATGAGCTGTCCCGTAATAAACCCGGTTGTTGCTGATATTTTCGTTTCAGACCCCTTTCCTAATATTTGCCCTCGAAGAAGGAAGAGATAAGACGGTCCTATGGAGAATGTAGTCAGAATTCCATAATAGAATCCGATCACAACGGCTGAATTCAGTATTTTAACGCAGAAACCAACGAGATAATTTCCCCAAACTAAGTTATAAATCATAATCCCTCCATGAGTGTTCGATTTGTTTTTCTTTGATATACTTTGTTTTGTTTTTCTATGTTATTTATTATATCTTCTATGTTAATGTTATTGATTATATTTTCTATGTTATTTATTATATCTTCTATGTTAATGTTATTGATTAAATTAAAATCAATTCTTCTGATCTAAAGAACAAAAGAAACATCTTCTTCTTGTTAATTTGAAAATAATTAATGATATAAACTTCAATACTTCATCATTTCTAAATAAATAACTAATTTCTTTATTTATTCTTTTCTGTGTTCTTTTTTTTTCTTTGCTTCGTTCTTCTATGTTATTCTTTTCTGTGTTCTTTTTCTTTGTTCTTCTATGTTATTCTTTTCTGTTTTAGTATCTGATATTTCCTATGTTTGTTAAGCATATAATATAAATATGTTAAGCATATAAGTTTGTTAAGGATATTCTATGTTTTATTATGTGATATTATTCTTTCTATGTCTTAGTATAATATATTATTAGATATCTTATTATATGATAATATAGATGGGATAGAATTTGCCGTTGTTCCTCAGTAGCTCAGTGGTAGAGCGGTCGGCTGTTAACCGATTGGTCGTAGGTTCAAATCCTACTTGGGGAGATTTTCTTCATTTCGAATTCAATAATTTGGAATCAAAAGAAAGTGTAAAGTTTGTTTCTATTCCATTCTATCTCATCGTATACTATTATGTTCTGCTTTATTGGGGACTCCCGGTCAATACAATACCTATGTGTAGATTAGGGATATTCCTTTGTTCATGCATAACATTAATTGTTCATGCATAACTATATATATAGGTTCACGGTGCATTGTCGTTAGAAATCAAGATATTAGAATTGGACTTATCAATCGATTCATAACTTTTCAAACACAACCAATATTTATTCAAACCTCCTTTACCTGTAGGAATACGTCTTGGATCTGCCGATTGTGTTATGGGCGGAGTCCTATTCATGGGGACCTGGTAGAATTGGGAGAAGCTGTAGGGATTATTGCTGGTCAATCTATTGGAGAACCGGGAACTCAACTAACATTAAGAACGTTTCATACTGGTGGAGTATTCACAGGGGGTACAGCTGAATATGTGTGAGCCCCCTCGAATGGAAAAATAAAATTTAATGAGGATTTAGTTCACCCTACACGGACACGTCATGGATATCCTACTTTTATATGTAATATAGACTTCTATGTAACTATTGAAAGTGACGATATTATACATAACGTCATTATTCCACCAAAAAGTTTTCTATTAGTTCAAAATAATCAATATGTAAAATCAGAACAAGTGATTGCGGAGATCTGCGCGGGTACATTTACTTTAAATTTGAAAGAGAGGGTTCAAAAACATATTTATTCTGACTCAGAAGGGGAAATGCATTGGAGTACCGATGTGTACCATACATCACAATTTATATATAGTAATGTACATATCTTACCAAAAACAAGTCATTTATGGATATTGTCAGGAAAGTCGTGCAGGTCTAATACAATCCATTTTTTACTTCGCAAGGATCAAGATCAAGTTACCATGGATTCACTTTCTAATGGAAAAACAAATATTTCGAATCTTTTAGAAAGGAATGATCAAGTAAAACATAAATTCAATACTTTTGGTACAAAAGAAAAGTGGATTAGCGATTCTTCAATATTGAATCAAATCATATGTACAGATCATTCTGATTTAATGTATCCTGCTATTTTGAACGATACTTTTTATTTCTTGGCGAAAAGGCGAAGAAATAGATTTCTTATTCCATTTCCATTCCAATCGATTCAAGAACGAAAGAACGAACTAATGCCCCCTTCCGGTGTCTCCATTAAAATACCTATCAATGGTATTTTTCATGAAAATAGTATTTTTGCTTATTTCAATGATCCTCAATACATAAGACATAGTTCAGGAATTACTAAATATACAACTATAGGAATTCATTCTATTTTTCAAAAAGAAGATTTCAATGAGTATCAAGGAATCGAAGAAGTAAAGCCAAAATACCAAATTCAAGTAGATAAAAAAAATTTATTCCCGAAGAAGTGCATATTTTACCCGAATCTTCTTCTCTAATGGTACGGAATAATAGTCTTGTTGGAATAGGAACACCAATCACTTTCAATATAAGAAGTCGAGTAGGCGGATTGGTCCGATTAGAAAAGAAAAAAAAATAGAATTAAAAATATTTTCTGGAAATATCCATTTTCCCGAAGAGATGGATAAGATATCCCGACACAGTGCCATCTTGAGACCTCCCGGAACGGTAAAAAAAATGCAAGGAATCAAAAAAATTTAAAAATTGGATTTATGTCCAATGGATCGCAACTACCAAGAAAAAGTATTTTGTTTTGGTTCGACCTGTCATTTTATATGAAATACCGGACAATATCAATTTTGTAAAACTTTTTCCCCAAGATCTATTCCAGGAAAAGGATAATCTGGAACTAAAAGTTGTCAATTATATTCTTTATGGAAATGGAAAATCCATTCGGGGAATTTCCGACACAAGGATTCAATTAGTTCGGACTTGTTTAGTCTTCAATTGGGATCACGGGAAAAAAAGTTCTTCTATTGAGGAGGCCCCCGCTTCCTTTATTGAAGTAAGTACAAATGGTTTGATTGAGTATTTTCTAAGAATTGACTTAGTCAAATCTAATACTTCATATATTAGAAAAAGAAATGACCCGTTTTGTTTAGGATTGATCAGGGATAATCAATCAGATCGAATCAATCCCTTTTTTTCTATTCATTCCAAGGGAAAAATTCAACAATCACTTAGCCAAAATCACGGAACTATTCGTATGTTGTTGAATAAAAAGAAAGAATGCCGATCTTGGATAATTTTGTCATCATCTAATTATTTTCAAATGAGACCATTCAACATTGTAAAATCTCACAATGGAATAAACTAAAGATCCTATAATTTCAATTAATAATAATAATTCGTTCGGCCCTTTAGGAATAGCCCTTCAAGTTGCGAATTTTTATTCACTTTATCATTTAATAACTCATAATAAGATCTAAATCATTAAAAATTTGCAACTTGACAAATTCACTTAAATTTTTCAAGTAATTAAATATTATTTAATGGACGAAAATGAGAAAATTTTTAAACCCGATCTATACAGTAATATTGTTTTGAATCCATTCCATTTGAATTGGTTTTTTCTCCATCATTTTTATTGTGAAAAAACGTTTACAATAATAAGTCTTGGACAATTGATTTGTGAAAATATATGTATAGCTAAAATGAAAAATGGACCACACCTAAAACTAAAATCGGGTCAAGTTATAACAGTTCAAATGGATTATGTAATAATAAGATTGGCTAATCCTTATTTGGCGACTCCAGAAGCAACTATTCACGGCCATTATGGGGAGATCCTTTCTCAAGGAGATATTTTAGTTACATTCATATATGAAAAATCGAGATCCGGTGATATAGCACAAGGTCTTCCAAAAGTGGAACAGATATTAGAAATACGTTCGATTGATTCAATATCCATGAATCTAGAAAAAAGAATTGATGCTTGGAACGAGTGTATAACAAAAATTCTCGGCATGCCTTGGGGATTCTTGATTGGTGCTGAGCTAACTATAGCGCAAAGTCGTATTTCTTTGGTTAATAAATCCAAAAGGTTTATCGATCCCAGGGAGTACATATCCATAATAGACATATCGAGATTATTGTGCGTCAAATAACATCCAAAGTCTTGGTTTCAGAAGATGGAATGTCTAATGTATTTTTACCTGGCAAACTAATTGGATTATTGCGAGCAGAACGAATGGGGCGTGCCTTGGAAGAACCCATTTGTTACCGAGCTTTATTATTGGGAATAATAAAAACATCTCTGAATACTCAAAGTTTCATATCTGAAGCGAGTTTTCAAGAAACTGCTAGAGTTTTAGCAAAAGCCGCTCTTCGGGTCGTATTGATTGGTTGAAAGGTGTTAAAGAGAATGTTGTTTTTGGGGGGATGATACCCGTTGGTACCGGATTCAAAAGAATAATGCACCGTTCACGGTCAAGGCAACATAATAAGATTACCCGGAAAAAAAATTATTCGAAGTAGAAATTAGAAATCTTTTGTTCCATCACAGAAAATTCTTTGATTTTTATCATTTCAAAGAATTTATGTGATACATTATTAGAAATATAGGATTAAATGGTTCCTAAAAGTGGATTCGACTCAGCCCCTTAAAATCTTTAAATGCAGTCATTTGATTTGGTAATAAAGTAGAATAAAAAATAATAATAAATAGAAATAAAAGAATGGCCTGATTCTATCTTAACGACCAATCGTCTATAAAAGAGAAGGTTCCATCGGAACAATTATTTATTGCTATTTCAGGATATTGGGTCTCTCTTTATTTTTTTTCAATTTTTTTATTTTAAAAAGTGTGGGGATAAATGACAAAAAGATATTGGAACATCACTTTTGAAGAGATGATGGAAGCTGGGGTTCATTTTGGCCATGAGCCTAGGAACTGGAATCCTCGAATGGCACCTTTTATATCGGGAAAACGTAAAGGTATTCATATTACAAATCTTACTAAAACTGCTCGTTTTTTATCAGAAGCTTGTGATTTGGTTTTTGATGCAGCAAGCACAGGAAAACAATTTTTAATTGTTGGTACAAAAAAAAGCAGCCGATTCAGTAACACGGGCTGCAATAAGAGCTCGATGTAATTATGTTAATAAAAAATGGCTCAGAGGTATGTTAACGAATTGGTATACTACAGAAACGAGACTTCGTGAGTTCAGGGACTTGAGAACAGAGCAAAAGACGGGGAAACTGAACTCTCTTCCAAAAAGAGATGCCACTATGTTGAAGAGACAATTATCTCATTTGGAAAGATATCTAGGCGGTATAAAATATATGACAAGATTACCTGATATTGTAATAATCCTTGATCAGCAAGAAGAATATACGGCTCTTCAAGAATGTATCACTTTGGGAATTCCAACGATTTCTTTAATTGATACAAATTCTGACCCAGATCTTGCAGATATTTCGATTCCGGCTAATGATGATGCTATAGCTTCCATCGGATTAATTCTTAACAAATTAGTTTTTGCAATTTGTGAGGGTCGTTCTAGCTATATACAAAAAAATTGATTAATAATAAGATAAATCAATTTTTAGATTTGGTTGGGCGTGCGGTCATAGATTTTTGGAATTGGTTATTATAGCATTACAAAATTGTGTAAAAAGAAATATTTTGTGATTAGTTAGGTATTCAAAATAGAAAATCAAAGTAAAATAAGGAAATGGTTGAATCAAAATAATTCCCTTTCAAGGTATATTTTTTTATTTTAGAGGACAGGGCAATATGAATGTTCTATTATGTTACATCAACACATTAAACAGATTCTATGATATATCTGCTGTGGAAGTAGGTCAACATTTCTATTGGAAAATAGGGGATTTTCAAGTGCATGCTCAAGTACTTATTACCTCTTGGGTTGTAATTGCTATCTTATTAATTTCAACCATTCTAGTTGTTAGAAATCCGCAAACTATTCCCACGTCTGGTCAGAATTTTTTTGAATATGTCCTTGAATTCATTCGAGACGTGAGCAAAACTCAGATTGGAGAAGAATATGGTCCATGGGTTCCATTTATTGGAACTCTGTTTTTATTTATTTTTGTTTCGAATTGGTCAGGGGCCCTTTTGCCTTGGAAAATTATAAAGTTACCTCATGGAGAGTTAGTTGCACCCACAAATGATATAAATACTACTGTTGCATTAGCTTTACTTACGTCAGTAGCCTATTTCTATGCGGGTATTTCAAAAAAGGGATTGGCTTATTTTGGTAAATACATCCAACCAACGCCAATCCTTTTACCGATTAACATCTTAGAAGATTTCACAAAACCCTTATCACTTAGTTTTCGACTTTTTGGAAATATATTAGCGGATGAGTTAGTAGTTGTTCTTCTTGTTTCGTTAGTACCTTTAGTAGTTCCTATACCTGTTATGTTCCTTGGATTATTTACAAGTGGTATTCAAGCTCTTATTTTCGCTACTTTAGCTGCGGCGTATATAGGTGAATCCATGGAAGGGCATCATTGACTAGTTATCAAAATCGTGTTTTAGCCCGCAACAAAGTATGTGTGGCTCGCGATAATATACTTAAGGAATATTAATAAAAAAATACAAAGAAATTTTAAAAAGGTTTAATAACAATCAAAAAGTAGAAAGAAAATTAAAACAATTACCAGGGAATTGTAAAAAAAAAAATAAAGATTAAATAAATTAACAAAGGTTGAGGGGGTCAAACTAGGTGTATATATAATCTAATCGTTATAAGACAGCTGGGGGATTTCCAAGAATGATTGATTGAATCTAAGATACAACTCATTGGTTTACGGTATGGAACAAACACATGTATATGTCATAGTAGATATTCATTAGTTATATATGACGATCTATTTAAATTTGTTCTGCTACTACTCTAAATTTAGGTAGGGATTCAAAAAAAAGATTCCATCTCTTGTAATTCTGAATTGAATATAAAAAAATGACTAAAAAAATGAAATCAAAGAAAAAAAAAGTTTAAAATGTAAGATAAGACCAAAAATTGTATGTATTCACAAAAAAACTACAAGGGTAGAAACGAAAAAAGTGAATATCGAAGTAATTGGGATAATTCAATAAAAATTATTAAGTTTGAAATTTTGAATTACACTTCGACTAGATAAAGAGAAATATGAAGAATGAAATAATTAAGTCATAATTTTTTTGTTGATTATATTATTGACTAGTCATCATTGATTTACCCGCTTGCTGAAACCACCCTCCATAGCCGATTGGATGGTTGGATAGCCACTCAACTCTTCACTATACTTCCTGTATCCCACTCCCCTCTCTATCTCTCTCGACCCATTCACCGGAGTATGTTGGGATGGAATGCCTCCATTCCCATCTCTTTATGATCTCTAGGCCTTCCCGCTATGAGATATTCTCGGCGCAGAAGCATATTCATGCATAATACTCAAATAATAATTTACCCTCTCCATATAGGGGTAGGAATCCCTAGAAGAGGATAGAAGGTCATTTTGTCATCAGTGGAAAAGCATGCGTGATAAGGATACTCCTCTATGCGAATGTTCTAGCTTTCAAAGGACGGGGAGGAGGAAGGGAGTTTCGGAAACAAAGCCCCCAGATTTCAAAGTTAAGCCCTACCCTAGTAATATCTTTTCCCTATCTAAGCTATATCAACATAGCCAACTATAAACTAATGCGCTTGTCAATTAATTCTTGGTGTAATACATAAATGATTGGTGTCATAATTTTTCACTGATCAGTCTCATCCGTGTAAGAATTAGGAATTCCTCTTCCAACTCGTCCCGGAATGGGCGTTATGGCAAAGAACAAGAAGAACACAAAAGGAGGAATTTGTCCAATAGTAACAAATGGTGCCTCCACAGGTTGACATCCGATCCAACCTAGTAGTAAGCGATCCGCCAAAAGCAACCAAAATATTCCTTGGTGAATAGGGCGAAAACTTAAACTACGCACGTACATACTTTTAAAAAAAGGTAAAGCCAACAGACATATAAAAACAGGTGCTATTGCGGCTACACCTCCCGATTTATCAGGTATACTACGAAGAATGGCATGGATCGGTAGGAAATACCATTCCGGCACAATATGAGGCGGGGTGGGCATCGGATTAGCAGGTGTATAATTGTCGGGATGCCCCAAAACATTAGGAGCATAAAAAATCCAAATGGAAAAAAAGATAGCAAAAGCTACCCAACCTACTAGATCCTTTACATAAAAATAAGGGTAAAAAGAAATTTGATCCATCTCTGAATGTACACCCAATGGATTATTTGATCCATGTTGATGCAATACGGCCAGATGAAGAAGACTGGCGCCTACTAAAATAAAGGGGAGTAAATGATGAAGACTAAAAAAACGATTTAAGGTGGCATTGTCCACGGAGAAACCACCCCAAAGCCAAGTAACTATGGTATCTCCTACTACAGGTATGGCGCTAGCTAAGCTTGTAATTACTGTAGCTCCCCAAAAGCTCATCTGACCCCAAGGTGGTACGTATCCTGTAAAAGCTGTCACAATCATTAATAGGAAGATTACAACTCCGAGACACCGAACAAATTCCCTAGGACTGCTATAACTCGCATGATATAGACCACGAAAAATATGAAGGTGAACCACAATGAGAAACATACTTGCCACATTAGCATGCATATAACGGAGCAACCAGCCCCCTTCAACATCTCTCATAACGTGTTCTACGCTGTTGAAAGCTAGATCCACATGAGGTGTGTAATACATAGCTAAAAAAACGCCAGTCACTATCTGAATTACTAAACAAATACCAGCTAACGAACCGAAGCCCCACCAATAACTAAGATTGCTCGGGGTTGGATAATCTATCAAATGTTGATTAAGTGTGGAGGATATAGGTTGTTTTAGAAGAGATAATCGTTGGTTCCTTATAGTCATTTTTCGCTCTTTCCTATCGTGACAACTCAGGTTCCCCCACCTTTTTTTCGTTCTGGGGCCCTACTTAAAAAGAATAAATACAACATTTTTTATAGTACCTTTTCTTTCTTCCACCTCCGAAGGATGGAGGGGGTATACAGCGAAAGAAGCGAGCGTCGAAGGGATCATCCTGGGTTACTTAAGAGTCGGAAGACTGCTCGGTGACCGAATCTGAGGGGTTTTTACCGCTTTATCTTCTCCCCGGCACTCTCGGACTGATCATCTTACTGCAACAAAGCAAGCTTAGGAATGAATCCAATGGAAATTTAGGTCTCTGTCCGCTTGGAAGATTTTTCTTTCCTCTTCGGTGAAAGAGGGCAAAGGTGTGTGGGAGAAATCATTCTAAAAGGAGATAAGATTTCGTCCACCAAGCGGGACAGAGTGCGACCCCTAAGCAATTGGAGGTTCTCGTCCAGGGTCCATATCATCTTAAAACTTTTCCTGTTCGATTAACATAGCTAAATTTGATTTGAATATGATGTCAGGAAAAGTAAAGTAAGTAAGTCCCCCTTTTGCCTTGAAATAAATTGGTTTCGCTGCGCACTGAATCAATCAAAAAGCTTTTTTTTTAATTAATCCCATTTTTTGGGGGCGAGGGGGGAAAATAGGGGTGGGGCCGCCTTGCGCAGCTTTAGAAAGGAGACAATTTCATAAAGTAACTCTCTCCAACCTTTTCTATCTATCCTTAGAAGTTGGGCGAGAGAAAGTCAATATGATATTTGCGTTGGTTTTTCCAACGAAACTAAGCACTTTTTTTTTATTTATCATTCGGAAGGCTGAGTCCCACACTCTGACTTCAATGATGGGAACAACCCCCGCACTCCGGCGCTCCAATGAACAACAGTTCTCCGCCTTACTTTCTTTAGAATAGTGGTCGATCCCTCGGGAGTGACATTCGTAACTTAATGTTATGTTCACGTTCACACGGTGATATTATATCCAAGAGTACTACCTTGTACGTAGTCTATGTCTGGGGAGCATACTTGACAGGAGATAGACACAGGCGGTAGATAGGTCCCCCACTTTGATTTCTGCCCCGTTAGCACCTCCGATCTGAGATAAGGGATTACTCCGTTAGGTCTTTTCGGTCCGGAGCCGACCGGTAATGGACCTACTTACCAAGCCTTGCTTGTGGACCAGCTGCGGAGCTAACCCTTGCTTTATGGGTTTGGCGGTTGCTACCAAGACGATTTCTTTATGCCCATCAAAGGACCTCGAGATGCAAATCCACGAAAAACGATACGAGAAATTCGAAAGAACTCATATACGGAACGAGGGCGACCCGTGGAAATACATCGGTTTCTTACTCGTGCAAAGGAACTATTTCTTGGCAACTTGGACAACTTATAACGAAGTTTGTCCCGCATATCACTAGGAAGATCGGAATCTTTACAAAAGGCTTTATAAAGCTTTCGTCTCAATTCATATTTTGCCGCGAGCAATCTGCGTTTGTGATCTCGTATATTTCGCTTCTCCGACTTCTCTTACTGAGTTTCTCCCTCATCATTTTGCAAAAAGCCGCTCCACGGTGGTAAAGTCTCATCTTGTGTGTTGGCCGAAGTTACAATAGTCACATTGAATCCTCGAATATGTTCGAAGATCTCGAAATGATCTTCCAGTTCCGGGGAGAATTCGCAAAACTCATTTTCCATCGAGAATTGAATGGAGTTTTCCCGTATTTCGACCGGAGAATCTAACAAAGACATTACTGTCGATATTCTGACCGAAAAATTAGACATTCCATGCCCTCGGAGAGTGCTTTGTCGTGCTAGGTCACTGACATATCCTTTGTCTTTTTTTAACCTCAAGAATGGATTGGATCGAAACGACTTTCCTGTCGAACCCCTTTGTGTCTGTATGAATTTCTGACCGTGCGGAATCTCTATAGCCAATTTTCCATTTATTATTATTAAATCATAGGGTGCCTTAGGTACTAATCTTATTTCACACGATCCAGGAACTTCCATAACGTTGGCGTGATTCAGTTTGAGCAACAGATCCTGACGTGATACATCTTCATAATGAAAATTGAGTGGAAACATAGTGATTGATTGAGACAAAAAAATTACCTCCAGACAGAAAGAGAGTCTTTCCTGCACGGAGTAGTGAATAACTATAGAGAAATGTGCTTGGTTGTTGACCAACAGAAAGGATGCATGGGAAAAAGCTATCATAAATACTCAGATGGATAGAAAAAAGAGGAAAGCAATCCATGAACGCTAAAAAAAGGGCCATTCATGGATTCGATTTCTTTGATTATTGCATTTAAATAGGTACTAGCCGACCCACGGTCGGTCAAATCCCTATGAATATCTGAAAGCTTCTTCCGGCGATAATTAACTGACAGCCCCATGGTGGTTGTGAAATAGGAGTCGACTACCCTCTGAATGTCCTCATCTGTTATCGGATATCCCGGTAAAAGGAAATTTTTCATTTCAATTACAATCGATTCCTGCTTTATTAAGGCATTTCGGTAGCTCACGTCTAGGGACTTATCTTCGCGTAATGACTCAATATTACGCAATTCACTGCTAAAATCCCGGACAGCCCGACCCTCCCCTTCTGAAGCTGAAGGACCAGGCTGATCTTGGGTTTCGTGAAATGCAGGCAGAGCCCCCTCTGGGGAATGAGGTTGATTGAACCCCCTAGACATTCCTCCAAATGAAGAGGGGTAGAATTGTGCCACAGCTCTAGCGAGGTCTTCCAAGAAGACATAACCTAGTTCCATTATTCCTCGTGAAAGAACAAGACTAAATAAGAATCGAGTTAAAAAATATAAAAGGTCTTTCCCTCTATTGGGAATTTTCCTAATAAGTGGTAGATTAAAAAAAATGTGAAACCTGAAGTGTCGCGAAAGACTGGGATGGGAAACAAAACAGAATGTACCGGATTTTTTGCACGTGCAACCATCAAACCAGAGACCAAAGCGAGGCTCGACAAAACAGAAAGTATCATGGTACCCTTAGTCCAAAAAGCCTTCCCAGAAATGGAACTTTAATGCTAGTTCTTGCTCCAGCATGAAAGTCAATCTATTATGACCAACGCGGTTGTTCTTATTTAATTTTCTTCTTCCAAGCCTTACATGCACTAAGTTACTGACACTTACGGAATATAAAATCTTACACTGTGCACTGACTATAGTAAACTTCTATTCGCATTGACCATAGAAAGTTCCTTCATATCCTATTTCACTGACCAAAGTAGGTCGAGTTGACCTTCCAATGCATTCTTTTCGATCTTTAACTACGATAGACTGAAGACGAAGCCAATTTCGATAAAAGGTGAAGTCGAAGCTACTCGATCATTCAACAGGGACAGCTGGAATCTATGCTAGGATCCAACCAGCGCTGCCAGCTTTCTTCTCTTATGAAATTGATAGTTACAGAAAGAGATCATTTCTAAACCGGAATCTTAGGATACCACCACTAATAGAAGGACAAGGACCGAAGACTTGAACACCAGCCAGATAGGCATTCACCAACAAAGACCAAGAGCGTCCTATCTTGTAATTAGTACTAAGAGCGGCTATGAGTAGGAGCTTGAAGCCTACCCGCAGTTGATGGTCTTGTTGGAATATGCGCTGTTCTCGACTCCGATGTTATTGAATCCGTAAGGTTTGTATTAGCACTCGCTTAGGTGCTAAAGGTAGATATGCAAATCACTTAGTCCTTGAACTAGGGTAGGGATATGGCCTAGTAATCAAATTCAAATAGAGTACCAGTACTCTACTAGTGAAGGAGGAAATCGTCTTTTACATAGAAGGTAATTCTTGGAAGTCACTTTTCCCTCTGAGACTGGCATTAAGTTATGAAAAGTTGTGTTTTCTCGGGATTTTTGGCAGCAGCAATGGTCTTTCTGCCCGTCCCTTTTTCAATTTCAACTAAGCTTGGCACAGCCGCCTAAGAAATTAGGTCACGGTCGCAGATCAGGAGAGAGTTACTTGTGTGACGCATCTATATCTGGGGATGATCGGGTAGAACTCAGGGCTTTCAGGTGTAAGGAGCGCATTAGCTGTTCTACTTGTTGTTTAACTACTTTTCCAGGGAGAATGAGGAAACTTGCATGGAGAAAAGGATGGAGTTTATCAGCTGTAACTGGCCAGCATAGGAGAGGCTTCTACCCATCCAATGTTTATGTTTGGATGGTTTTCTGTCCACAAGTACTTTGCAATCACTAGCTTTGAGCTTTGTCGTAAGTTGGGGTACCCCTAATTACATTACGGCAAGTTTTCCTTCCTTGTAACCCAGCATGTTCGTGATCTGATTCTTTATGGTTTCCTTTACAAAAATAAAATGAAAACCTCACTCTTAGCCGGATTTATTTGGGGTGAGACCAGAAAGATGTTGAAAGATATGGAGGACATTGTTGATAATGGCAATAGAGTATAAGTCACCATTGCTGAACACCATGAGATCATCCGCAAAGCATAGATGCGATATTTCCTCATTTTTACACCTCCAGTGATAGTCTTAGGGGCTTATCCGGTGCTCTATTTCATGTAGTCAGAATATCTGGTATCCTATTTTATTTTCCTACTAATGCCAGATCTGATTTAATAGGAAAAGAACCTTATACCCCATCTAGTATTCAATTCACTAGCTTCGACCACTGTCACTCCCGTTCTTAAAGAGTCAAAGTGCTTTGAGGAAGAAGGGGAAGTTTGATAATAAGCTCTTTTTATTTTTGTACCTGAATCAATAGTAGACAAATATAGACAGTATGTAGTGAGGGTGGTTGTAAATCACTAGGTAACCAGTCTTTACTTAAGTCGACCCAAGCAATGCGCAAAGACTCCCATGTCTTTATTGGTTGGACCAACCGGAAATTGGAGACAAGTCTTTCTAAATTTTGAGAGCAAGAATGAGTCTCTCTTTTTTTTTGAGAGGCCATCTTTCTTGTCAATTACCTCTTCAACTATTTCTTCAACTAGGTCGGACGCGCAAAGCGCTCCACCTGAGTTAGAGCGGGTATTTGATCGAATTTGTGATGAATATGCAGAGTGGGTGGTGAGAGCCGGTAAGCAATTACCCCCAGAATGGAGCATGTCGGGCCTTGTTCGGACAGTGATTGGGGACGAGGCTATTCACATCCCAGGCTTTATCAAGGATTCATATGTTAATGTTATGTTATATGGACAAAATAGTTGGTTATGCAACGAGGTTTTTCAGTTTTTGGATTTAATTACCAGCTAGCTCGGTAATGTAATATAAACATAACATCTTAGTCTTTATAGAGCTGCGACATTCCCCCTTTTTACTAAAATTTTAGTTTGATTGTGTTAATTGTTCTTTATTGGCTCTATATTCATTTCATACTCTCTTTATTTCATATAGTAAATTTGGACTGACTTGTGGGGGGTCTCAGCCTCTAGACTTTGAGTGGATTTGCTGTTTCGACAATGGCGCTGACAGTTCCAATCTGCCGGTGTTGGAATCGTCGTCAAGTTACGAGTCTCTGGCTACTTTTCGAAATGTTATCACAGCAGAAAATGAAGCAGAAATATATGAGTGAATTAGGGTTCTCGAGAACCAGCATTACTACAATATCCCCCCTCATAATAACCCGGGAGATTACGCGAGGCTGGTTCGAGAGCACTTCGATCAAGCCCTAAACGTAGATCACTACTGGGAAATCTTTGATCGAGAGTATCTCGAACTACGCATATTAGATAAAAAGGTCGGTCTGCAGGATAAACTCTTAAATCTGATGCTTGATGAGCAGAATCTTGCTCGAATTATGGAGCTATCTCCCTATTCAAATAGTTGGTAGGAAGCCTACGACTTCATTCAGGAGAAGGTTTCCCCGCTTAGCTCCCTTGAACATGCCTATCCGCGCCATCTCATGGATGGAAGTCTGACATTCTTTATAGAACAAGTAAACCTAAGCGGCCACAATTTAGAAATCTATCGTGACTTCTACTCGCATTTCACCGATGACGAATTCCGTCGACAACAGGGGTTTCCCTTACCATAATAGGTAAGAAGGTAAAAAATAAAGTCGGGCTAAAAATCATAACTAGGTTGTAGTCTCCTTCGGTCATGGCCTTTTTCTGTATAGATTATTATTTATAGTTCTTGCATTAACCGGTCTTGAATTAGGTGTAGGTAACAAAATTTTATTGTCTTATTGTTGTATCGGGGTCTTACTGCTTTTGGATTCCTCATACTCAATGAATGAAGATTCAAACAAAAAGGAAAAGGGTAAAACCATATCTTACTGAAGAATCTGACTGAATGAGGATCAGAGAGCTCTTTATGTGGTCTCACTTTACCACCATATAAAATGCGCGAAACTTCGATTGGTGGAAGCCAGTCCATGAAGATTATCCCTTTTCTTACGTGCAATTACCCTCTTTCAGTAAGCATCCAGTATCTCAGCAAATGAACATTTCTCTAAGCTTATCCTGTAGCTTATACGTCGTTTGAAAGCTGCTTCCAGGATCCAACGAATAGCTAAGGTTCGTTGAAGATCCCTGGCTACA